CCAAGAAAACTGCAGGGACTTGTCCAGGCAGTCACCAGGAGTCAAGACTGACTTGAAGGCATAAAAATATATATATATATATTATCCAAAATTCCTGCTGATCCATATAAGCCAAAGGCATAAGCCATTCTGTATTGCTGCAATTTTGTAACACTTTCTTTGAAGTAATCCCATTAAACTCAGTGGAGTTTACTTTGCATTGGTACAGGGTTGCATCAGTATATTTTGGTCTTATGGATACACAAAGAAGATATGAACTTCCAAGTACTTCTATTTCTCTATTAGGTCAGCCTTCCCCAACCGTAAGTTCTCCTGATACCTTGAACCAATAGCTACAAGACCTAGGTAGCATGGCCAATACAGGAGTGAAATCCAACACATCAGGACATTATCAGGGAAAACTGCATAACGGTATGGAATAATATGTAGTTTGTTTAGCTCTCTATGTACATAAATTGATTGGTTGGAGAAATGTGCTGAAAAATAACAGAACAGAATTAATCAAACAAAAAGTTACACATTTGGGAAAAAGGAATCAAATTCCTAGAGAGAAAAAGAGCTATCTGATTTGGCACCAGCAAGAGGACTAAAGGCCAATGAAAGACTGCATTCTGCCTCCTCCCAAAAGGAATATGATAAGAAGAAAACCCACATTTTCCCATCAACTGACCAGAGAAACAGCATTTGTAGAATGTTGTTTCATATACACCCCTAAACAAAAGAATACTCAGATCTACTTGGGACTAGAGAAACGAGACAGGTCACTCTGCCTTTAGCCATGGGCAAAAAAGCTCCACAGAGCACCTTTTAGCAAAAACCCCAAACAAAACAACAACAGCAACAAAGCCAGGCTCCAAACTGCTTATAATTCCCTGCTTATATCTCAACATGTTGCTTTATCTTTTTTAAAAAAATGTTCATCTTCTACCATTCTCCTTCCTTAATATGGACTGTGCGCTTAATGGCAGGCTCCCCCTTTGTTATCTTAATTTACATAAACTTGCTTAGGAATTTTTTTTCCTAAAAAGTGGGCTAAAATATAATTAATTAGCTAAAGAGAAAACTGCCTGATTAAGTACAACTGAGCGAAGTCCCAAAAGTACCCACACCAGTTATTTATTTATTAGTAAGTACTTGTTTTTATTTTACACACTGGCTTCTCAAATGTACTGAAACTGTCCTTAAAACCGCAGTTTTCTTCTATTAACTGACTGAATCTTAGGCCACCATCATTTACTTGCTTGGTTTCAGCTGATAATGCATTATAACTACAATCTGAAGTGTCAGCAGAATTTCCATCAAAAGCAGAAACTCTCTGACTACTTTGATTTGTGGTATAGCTAGTTTCCATAACTCCAGTAAGAACATAAGTGCAGCCTGATTGGATCAGATCAAAGACCTTTATTAATTCCATATCATTATTCACCATAGCAGACATCAAGATGTTAGAGAAATTCCTAAAATACACCATATGGAAAATAACCCTCATCCTTTGATATTCCAAATCAAGTGATATTTAGAGGCATGCTACTTTTAATATAATGTATAGTTATCATGACCTGTACCCATTAAAAGACTTCCCCAGCATGAATTTACTTAAATCCTCTTTTAAATCCTCTACATTGATAGGCCTATTGGTTTTTACTAGTTTCAGTCTGACAATGAGAATTAAAACCAGACTTCTTATCACTGTTATTCGTCTCAGTTTTTCAGAAACTTTTCGAGTCAGCTTAGGCCTGTCCTACAGCATTCACAGTAAAGACATATGCAAAGAATTAATTCTAACATACCCCTTCTCTTTTTCTAAACAAGTGGTCAGAATCCAAACCGGAACAGAAACATGAAATTGGCTTCCCACAATGGGTCATGTTCCATATACTTTGAGTAAATTTCTTGTTCCAACATGACCATGTTAGTAAAAATCCCTATTACTAAATCAGCACTATTATTACTCACTAGCATGTGGCATCCATCTTAGGCTAGAGCAGGGGTTCTCAAAGTACAGCCCGTGGGCTGGATACAGCTCGCCAGGGTCATTTATCCAGCCCGCCCGCCTGACTGGCCACCGCTGCTGTCTGTCAAAAGTGGAAGTGTTGGGCTGTGTTGGAAGCTCCAGGGGATGCACGAGGAGGGAGATTGCAGAGCCGGACTATTCTACATGACAGGTATGCCGGGTCCGGCAGCTCTCCTCCTCTCCTCATACTCTGTGGGAGGGATCCTCTGTGCAGGGTGATCAGTGGGGTCCAGGGCGCCCCATTACTTTCTCCATTTGGTCTGTGTGAATTCGTTCATGTTTTTTTCAAACCATAGTCCAGCCCCCCAACATTCTGAGGGACCATGAACTGGCCCCGTTTAAGAAGTTTGAGGACCCCTGGGCTAGAAAGTAGAGCTCAGCAACCAAATACTGCAGGGGAAAGGTATGTCCAGTATGCAACATGACATGACCCATAAGGCAGGCTTACTGGAAATGTTATTCTCTTACCAACCTGGCTCACACTGAGCATCACAGAAACACCTTATTCTCCATTGTCTTGATTAATTACTGGAAGAAAGAGGCAGCATGGATCATGTTGCTTTCTAACTGAAGCTACTCAAGCTCTAAGTACCCTTAAGTTCACTGTTAACTTTATTAACAATTAAGTAATTAGGTAGGTGTTACTATATGCAGAAGGGTTTTCATCCAAAAGGATCTTGTATGGAAGTGGACTATGAGTAAATTCTAGCTGTAAAGTTAAAAAAAAATCCTAGAAGAAGGAAATATCTAATGCTTCCATGCTGTTGCCAAGCGGTCAATGATGTCTCAATATGAACTCAGAAGAAGAGACGTGACTTTGGTTTTTTTATCCATCCCAGGAGCACAATTTTTTTATAATTCTTCTGCTTTTATGCTGGTTTTATGCTAGTTGTGAGTCACCCAGAGTCTATGACTGGAGTTCTTGTGAGATAAATACATTATCTCTGATGCCTGAGAAAGTCTGGTTAGTTCCTGGAACATAAGAATCAGTTTTATACAAGGTCAGATCATTTGTCCACATTGCCTTGTATCATGCTGAGTAGCAGCCCTCCAACAGCTTCAGCTAGGGATCTTTCTCACACCCTACAACATGATATTCCTTAAATGGGAGGACGGCCAGGAACTGAATCTGAAGTCTTTGGCATGAAAGCTATAAGCACTACCATCAAATAAATGTTTTTCCCCCCATAAACATCACAACAATAAAACACTTTTGTTTCTATATAAAACATATCAACAAAGCAATGCATCAAAAAGGCAATTCTGATGCAAGGGGTACCAAAACCTCCAACAAATTTTACAATAAAGCCTTCTTTAAACAAAAAAAAAAAAAAAAAAAGCAGCTTTAAAACTTATTGCACAGGACAGAACTATTGAAACATCCATAGTAAACAAGAAGCACTGCAGCACAAATTAAACCAAAGGCCCAGTTGAACAGATATGTTTTCAGCTTGATCTAAAGCATAATGAAAGAGGAAGGGAATTTCACAGTCAAGAAACCTACGGCTGAGAACCAGCTCTTTCGGGCTGCCTTTCAATGAATCCCGCTGCAAGCACAGCACCCCCCAAGAGGGCACTTCTGCTAAATCTTTCTATTCCAGGGACATATATAAAGGAGGAAGCATACAGGGCCTAAGCCATATAGTCCTTTATATGTTACCATAAGTAGTTTAATCTTAGCTTGAGAACACACTGGCACCATCAGACGTAACACTGCTACGGCACACTTCACCAAAAGATTGCGGGGATCTTAAAAAGGAGGAGGATTTCTGTCTGCTGCACAAGCAATCTCATCCCATGCAGTGATATCCATAAAGGCTACAGTTGTGCCTAGGAGAACTCACAGGATCAATGGTCATATATCTGCTGGATGTGCATCTCATACAATATGTATGATTGATTTATAGCTCAAAGTTCAACCTAAAGAAAAACCAAGCAAATTTTACTTCAAACTTCACACATAGTAATTTTGAGATGGGGCAAGGAATACATATGCATATG